AATTCATCGCATCTACATATAAATTACTCGTTTTCACCTACCCATACTAGAGTCAAATTATCATCACGAACTAGCTAGTATTGATGTAAACATTATTCTTAAAATAAATGTACCGAATCTTATCAAATCTGAATTCTTCAAAACAAAGTGTTGAATATTCAACTGAGGAACTCTAAAAAAAAATTGCTAAATTCCTGATAATTTTTCTATAGACATTACAGCAGAGACGGTGACCGGGTGACTTCTGGGAATCCCGCAAATTCAACGTGCTGAAGGCAAATCCTCCAAATTGTTTTGATCAAGGCACGTCTATAAATATAAGATTGAGCTGAAAGAGAAATTCCAATGCATTTGTAAGAATTATTTCTTTATAGATTATTTCTTTTAATTTCTTTTTTAAATCTGAACTTTCTTAAGTATTAAAAAAATTTGAAAGCATGAATTTGTATGATATGATATCTAAGTGAAATTTTATAGGATACAGATTTGAAAAGCTTAATTATATAAGGGTATTTTATAGGGAGATGTTAAGATGACAATTATAAGCTGATGATTCATATTCATACACGATAAAAAATATGTATATAAACTTACAGGGTACGAATTAATAAGTTGAAAAACAAACAAACAAGCTCATTATTATGTATCAATACAACTCTATCAAATTAAATAGATAATTACTTCAAAATCTATCGTTTATATATTAAGATAGAAAATAATTTTTTACATAATTACATTCAATTGTTTGGCACAATATATATATAATGTTTCGATACCGATCAAATTCGCTTAAAGATAGTAAACAAGTTTACATCTGTTCATTTTAAATTTTATTTGTGTGTTGTGAGAATGTTGAAAAAGTAGGAAATAATTGATGAAAAATGGATTTTTGAATTTGATTCCGTCAATTCTATGCAAATAAAGTCAAAACATGTTACAAAGCATTATCCTTAAGGATAAATTCCGCCTTCTAGGACAAAAATCCTGATGCAAAACAAGCTCAAATATATGCCAGTCTAACCTCCAGGATACAATATGGAAACCTAAATTAAACTGCTATATAGCAAAGGTCTTTTGGTATTGTTTATAAAATAAATTTTCAATAGCATATAACACTTTTGAGTAAAATCTGAGTCTGAACACTATATGATCATTCCTTATTTATAGTAAAAATATAGTTGTTGGTCATAAATAGATGTAATAAAACCAATCTTAAATCATATGAAACTCCCCAATAATTGAATAAAATAAAACTCCCATCAGAATAACTAAATTTCAATGAATCTGAAATACTTAATAAAGAAACAACAGAAAATAATAAAAGTTTGTTGAAAAAAATATTAAAAGAATAAAAAAAATAAAAACACGTTTAACATATATATATAATACATTACATTATTTTATAGCTACTTGATGATGATAGATAAGGTATCTAAGAATATTTTTACCCTTTAAGGGACTTGTTCAGGATTCCCGATTTTCTTATTATTTTCTGTTTTTCAATCGTGAGACTTTATACCAGTCTTGTGACTTCACCGCCCAGTATTGTAGACTCAGCCTTCTTAATAATTTCAATGAAAATTAATAGCTTAACTAGGTTCAAACTGAATCGATCAAAATATGTCAACTCCCAAAAAAGAAAGAGAGAATATTCAAGTCATACAGCTGCTAATTGACTTATAAAAAATATTGAAATAAATACAACAGTCATGCAAATTTAAGATCAGATAAATAGTTTTGGCATCGTAAATATTTGCTTTTTATGATACCAGAGTTTGAATTTCCAATTGACTTGCTAACAGGAGCGGAACCACCTTTAGGCCTGGGGTGGCTGCTCTTTTAATTGGTTCGTACCCGGTTATTGAAATTGAGAAGTTTATCTTTGACCTAGTCTCTACGACCTAAACAAAATTGTCCATGGTGACTGGTAGGGCTATCAGATGAGCCGAGCGGCTCGCAAGCCGACTCGGCTCGGCTCGTCTGAAGCTCGTTTATGACTCGGCTCGTGGTTAGCCGAGTCAACTCAGCTCGAGCTGGTTATATAAAACGAGCCGAGTTCGAACATGGGGAGGCTCGGCTCGTATGCTCGCGAGCCTGATGTGGCTCGGCTAAGCAGGGTTCCATTTGTTATATTTTTATAAATTGTGGGGATTGAAATGTTATATATATTCTTTAGTTTTAAAAATTTGTAAAAACAACATTTAACCCTCCGATGTAATTTTTTCTAAAACACAAAATTAAACCTCCAAATAAGATATCCCAAATCGACAAACCCTAACCCCTAAATTTGTTCTTGCAAAAATTCATAATCACAAATCAAAATCAAAATCAATATAATGGTTGTGTTGAGGAAGAAGATGCAGATGAAGATGAAGATGAAGATGGAAGCAGCGTGTGATGCTCTGCAAGATGAAGATGAGATGGAGACGAAGATGAAGATGAAAACAAGATGAAGATGAAGATGAAGACGAAGAAAAGGATGAAGATATGCAGATGATGAAGGTGATGGAGAGATGTAGAGGATGCAGATGATGAAGATGAAGTCGACTCGACTCAAACTCAATCGAGTTCGAGTTCGAGTTCATTTTCTCTGACTTGACAAGCTCGAGCTCGAACTCGAGCTCGATCCTGTAGCAAACGAGCCAAGCTCGATAAGTCAAAAACTCAACTCGGCTCGGCTCGTTTACAACCCTAATGAATGGGCTTATGCTTAACATTGGGAAGGATGTCCCAAATCTCATTTCAAACAACATTGAAAAGACCCTAATCAAAATATTCCTTCCTTTGGGTATATATGATTGGAACTCAATCTTCTAGATTATACAGCTTGGTTAGCCCTCAAGCCTGAGAAATTATGTGCTTGTTGAGTATGGTAATATGTCAAGCGCATGTGTATTCTTTATTTTTGACGAAATAAGAAAAAATCAATTATAAACAAGCAAAACACTACAGGAAAGAGTTTATGTGGGGAATATATTTTGGATTTAAATCTGGACTTATTGTTGAAACTATGGTCCTCCATAGTGTTTGTTGATGAGATAATTCGTACCAACCAGAGATACCCAATCGGCCTCGGAAGGGATCATGTAAGATGTACACGTAGTAACTGGTAACCAGCAAATTTGCTAAAACGACATAATAAAGTAAAGAACCAAAAAGGTTTTATAGTGGTTCAATGGTATGGAAACCAAACCTACATCTACTTTCGTGTTATTATTGAGAGGTGTTATAGGGTTGAATGATGTTACAAAAGGAAACTTGCAAGATAAATGAAAGACATTCAGCTCTTGTGACCTATTCTCTCTAAACTCTCTCTAGAACAGATCAATGTATTTTTCTCTTAGACTTTACTAATACTAGAATCCTTTAGAACAGAGGTCGTGGGCGCTCCTTTTATACTTGGCTCATCTAATATTAGTTGAGAATGGGTGTTACGAGGTTTCTTACACATATAATCCCCTTAATTAGGATCTGGTTCAGTAATCCTCATGCTTGTAACAAGCTGGGTCATGCTAATGGCAACTTAACTCATGCTTTTGACAGTAATCACCTTGAGATAAGGCAAGTGCTAATGAGACGACAGGTGGGAGGATCTAAGCTGTCAGCCTTCGACACACCTTAAGGACACGTGGCACAAATTTGACCGCCAATAAATTAGGCACGATAGTGTTGATATTGCTTAGAGGATTCTATAATTACGAATGACTTCCCATTCTCTTTGGTTTTCCATTCTTTTATTTTATTTTTATTTTCTTTTAAGTCTCCATTAAAAGAAAAGTGTGAGGTCAACCAATATGTTTTGCTCTTGTCATAAATAAAAGATCATAGATTTCTTTGCAACAAAAAGCAACTTAATTTATATATAATGCTAAAATAAGTTGTGATTTATAATATATTATGTAATTAATGTGAAAGATTATTACAAGACATCTTATCCACAATACACGTATGGAAAGAAAGAACCAAAATTATTAATGATCATAATTTCAGGTTGAGTTAAATTACATTTGTAAAAGCTTCAAAGTTGATAGCTATGTGAAGATGAAAGCACAATAATAGTCATTCAATTTTATTAATCAATCTTTTACCAAGTAATTAATATAATGTATGTTCATTGAAATGAGAAAGAATTTCATTCTATGCATTAAATAATTAAATATTACCACTGTGACGAAGCTGGAGCTTAAATTAATACTCATTATTCATGTGGAGACTGATTTAATATTAATTGTAGCTCAAGCTTCATACGGAATTTTTCAATTACAACTAATAATATATTTGTTGCAATCTAATTCCTAATTTTTTTATTAGAATAATTATTTATTTGTAACCTAACGATTTAAATATGAAAACTAAAAAATAATATTTAATACCAACTCAACCATCACTAGATGATTTAATTGTGATGAATGCTGATGAATTTGTTTAACAAATTCAAATTATAAGTTAGGTATTGTATTTTATTTATATTTATATTCATTTGGTTTTCATATCTAAATTATGTATATGCCATCGATGTATGGAGTTACCTGGTCCAACAATATTATATTAAAAGTTTAAGTTATCATTGAAATGACATTGTGCCATTGAGATTATAGGAAAAGTGGTTTGATTGAAATCCAAAAAATATCTTAACCTTGTGAGCTGTGAGTTAATTATCCAATTACCCTTAATGAAACTAGTAATTAATCAATCAGAACCGTCCAATTGGGTAGATTAATTGAAGAAGAAATGTTTGATTTGGATTGGAGAAACTTGGTAAGTGAGAACAAACAAAAACTCCCGATCATGTGGAGGTTCGATAGTCAAGTAATGTTTAGATACACCAAACACACGCGTCACGTGCCAGCCAGCCTCTGAAAGTTGTTGGGCTTTTATAACATTTTATTATCGACTTCGCTATTCTAAATATCACGTGGTCTTCATCTACCAAGCCTTCTTCCCTTCTTATAAATACTCACCAAAACTATCATCCAAATCCACAACACTCATTTTATTTCCTAAGAAAATACAATACTCAACCCTTTACCGCCTTCTTTATTGAAAGAGAAAAATGGTGACTGTTGATGAAGTTCGCAAGGCTCAACGTGCCGAAGGTCCAGCCACCGTGATGGCTATCGGCACGGCAACCCCTCCCAACTGTGTTGATCAAAGCACCTATCCTGACTATTATTTTCGTATCACAAACAGTGAGCACAAGATTGAGCTTAAAGAGAAATTCAAGCGCATGTGTAAGTCATCAAACCTTATAATTTATCCATTATCTTGTTATCAATTTGCAGAAGAGGTTTTTTTTTTTTTTCTTTTTAATCTCTTTTGGTTAATTTAATAAATTAGTTTTTCTTTTTCTTTTTCTTTTTAATCTCTTTTGGTTAATTTAATAAATTAGTTTTTCGAGAAAGGGTGAAATACAATGAATTTTAGGTAGAATTGATTACACTATTTTTTTTTTTTTTTTTCCCCTTTTAGAAATAATTGAAGGGAGACAGTTAGGAGATAATATTCCAGATGAATTATAATTGGAATGAAATAAATAAGATAGCATAGTTGTATCTACCAAAATAGGCAAAAGAGTCATTTTCTTTTCTTTTCTCTGTTTTTTGTTTATTTTGGGCAGAAATATTTCTCATATCCAACCCATTAGTCAAAAGTCAAAACTCTAAAGTTAACAGTATACCCTTAAAAACAAAATGAATTTTTTTGTATTTCCGACTCAATAGACAAAAAAAAATATACTGCTACACTTAAGATGATCTATCATGATAATTAACACTACAATAATTTCCATAAAATCATTTTATCCTCATCAACCTAGTAAGCTTTAAATCAAGATATTACCATACTAATATGATACTATACTCGTTTTGCATCAATATATTTAAACTGAACTTCTTTTGTCATGTATTTCAGGTGAAAAATCCATGATCAAGAAGCGATACATGTACTTGACCGAGGAGATTTTGAAAGAAAACCCAAAAGTTTGCGAATACATGGCACCTTCATTGGATGCCAGGCAAGATATGGTGGTGGTTGAGGTCCCAAAGCTAGGCAAAGAAGCAGCCACCAAGGCTATTAAGGAATGGGGTCAGCCCAAATCCAAAATCACCCACTTGGTGTTATGCACCACCAGTGGTATTGACATGCCTGGTTCTGACTACCAACTCACCAAGCTCTTGGGTCTTCGTCCTTCTGTTAAGCGTTACATGATGTACCAACAAGGTTGCTTCGCCGGTGGCACGGTTCTTCGCCTTGCCAAAGATTTAGCAGAGAACAACAAAGGTGCTCGTGTCCTTGTTGTCTGCTCAGAAATTACTGCTGTTACTTTCCGTGGTCCTAGTGACACCCACCTTGACAGTCTTGTGGGTCAAGCCTTGTTTGGTGATGGTGCAGCTGCTGTCATCGTTGGTTCTGATCCAGTTCCCGGAGTTGAGAAGCCAATGTTTGAAATAGTCTCTACGGCTCAAACAATTTTGCCTGACAGTGATGGGGCTATTGATGGACATCTTCGTGAAGTTGGGCTTACATTTCACCTTTTGAAAGATGTTCCCGGGCTTATTTCAAAGAACATTGAGAAGAGTTTGGTTGAGGCATTCAAACCTTTGGGTATCTCAGATTGGAACTCACTTTTCTGGATTGCACACCCTGGTGGTCCGGCAATTTTGGATCAAGTTGAAATCAAATTGGGCCTTAAGGAAGAGAAGTTAGGTGCCACAAGACATGTGCTTTCCGAGTACGGTAACATGTCAAGCGCCTGTGTCTTGTTTATTTTGGACGAAATGAGAAGGAAATCAACTGAAAGTGGATTAAAGACCACAGGAGAAGGTCTTGAATGGGGAGTTCTCTTCGGATTCGGGCCCGGACTTACTGTTGAGACAGTCGTCCTCCACAGTGTTGCTACCGCTTAAAGATTTTTATTGTTGATTTAATTTTTCGTTATCCTTGAGTTTTCTATTTCCTCATGTTATTTGGATTTATATAATTTCCCTCAAGAGATGTATGGTTATGTATGCAAATAATAATGAAACTGCAATCTTAAAGAATGAATTACTTTTAATCATGGATAAATGATCAACATCCTATGCGTTTTTTTTTTTTTTTGGTTAATAAATATTAAAATTCGTTTTCATTGGTATAATTTTATGGGGATTATAGCCAACAGTCAGCATGAGCCCCTTGCAACCAATGGCATAACATGTAAAGAATGTTGATGTGCTGATTAGATCCTTGCCTGATTATCATTGGCCATATTCGCTATCATCTTGATGGTGTTCAATTTGACTTTTCCTATATATCTTAGCGACTAAGAAATGGTGGATTGATTGCAAGCATTACGTACGATTGACCCATCCACTAGATGAACTTCACGTGACATAACCTTAGACGATTTGATCTTGTGTGAATTACTTTTTTGTTTTGTTCTTTTTTTGAAAAATGATCGGTTTAAATCATGTGTATTCAAAGGAAACACATTTGACATGTTTATTTAAAAACATTATTTTGAAAATGCGAAAATTAAATCGCATTGAACAAGTTGGTTGGAAAACAAAAAAGAACAAATATCACAACTCACACAATTGATAAAACTATCATGGGACCCAAAAGGCTAGTCTATTATGTGATAAGAGATATAAAATTATCCCCATCCAATTATGTGATCTTTGGTTGGCGTGACTCACACTCTGATCCATTTTTAAGGGTTTCCAATTTGGCAACTCTCGACACTATCTTGTAGTCGGCCCGACTTACACCTTGCTCGGTTTTTAAGGCGGCCCAATGTAGCAGTCAACCTTGTAAAAACATTTATTCCAACATTCATAAAAAGTTTATAATAATAATCAACTGTAAAGATGTTAAATACTTATGGAATATTGTGAAAGTAATTTATAAACCTCCAGCCATAGCAATTATTATTTAAGTCTTCTTGCTTTTATCACTTCAGAATACAAAGTCTTCCATTGACTACAATTTTTCAGAGCGCTGGTTTTGGGAATCAAATGAATTAATTGCATTAAATGGGGACCTGTAAAATCTCCTTTATAAATGTAGTTGTCTTTCCATCAAAGACAACTACTCGAGATACAATTGTATGTAACTTTTATTATAATCCATATCAGCAGTTACCCATTCACTTTATATTAAAAGTGTAGGACCATAATATAATTAAAATTCTAACATTCTCCCACTTGGTCCAAACTTTTATTATATAATCCACAACATAGGAGTTGTATGTTTTGTATGTTTAATCAGAAAAATAAAAACTACATGAATCATAGTGGTAAATCCCTTTTAAACAAGTATTTTCTTTCATGTATTACTATGTAATTTTTCTCTTTCTAAATACACGCTTAAATGTGGAATAGTACTTTATGGACAAACCTCAAATGTTTATTCTGGGTCCTCCAGAATATTCGTTTGTCTCTAACCAAAATGTATACAACTTAAAAGAAAAAACAAACTAAATTACAAAGTTTCAAAGAATGAAAGTATTGCCTTTTATAGTGACAAAGCGAGATGTAGTCCTATGTGAACTACATGATCCTTGAACATCTTTGGTGGTATGCCTTTTGTTAGAGGTTTAGCAATCATCTACTCGGTATGTATGTGTTCAATGAGCATTCCTTTGGCTTTAATGTGCTCCCTTATTGCTAAGTACTTAATGTCGATGTGTTTACTTCGACTTCCACTCTTATTATTCTTAGCAAATAATACAACAACTGAATTGTCATAATACAACCTTATTGGCCTAGAGAACAGTCAACAGTCAGCATCTTGGCAACTCTCGACACGATCTTGTAGTTCAACTCACACCTTAGTTGTTTTTAAAGAAGTATACTTTAGTGCTCCAACTAACCCTTTGTAACACCTGCTCTCTACTACTATTCAGATAATGCATACTATGCAAATTATAGACATACATAGCGTATGGCAGATAGTGGGCTCAAACTTTTCTTTACTCATAAAATATAATTTTCTACATATACAAAGTACTCTATATTAAAAACTTTCTACTTAATATAAAATATCATAACTGGTGGACAGTAGTGCCAATACTCTCCGCTCCTCGACGTCCATCCGACCNGAATTACTTTTTTGTTTTGTTCTTTTTTTGAAAAATGATCGGTTTAAATCATGTGTATTCAAAGGAAAAACATTTGACATGTTTATTTAAAAACATTATTTTGAAAATGCGAAAATTAAATCGCATTGAACAAGTTTGTTGGAAAACATAAAAGAACAAATATCACAACTCACACAATTGATAAAACTATCATGGGACCCAAAAGGCTAGTCTATTACGTGATAAGAGATATAAAATTCTCCCCATCCAATTATGTGATCTTTGGTTGGTGTCAAACTGTCAATCACACTCTGATCCATTTTTAAGGGGTTCCATTTTGGCAACTCTCGACACTATCTTGTAGTCGGCCCGACTTACACCTTGCTCGGTTTTTAAGGCGGCCCAATTTAGCAGTCAACCTTGTAAAAACATTTCTGTTCTGACATTCATAAAAAGTTTATAATATAATCAATTATAAACATGTTAAGTATTCGTGAAATATTACGAAAGTAATTTACAAACTTTTAGTCATAGCAATTGTTGTTTTAGTCTTCTTGCTTTTGTCACTTCAGAATATAGAGTTTTTCACTTACTACAATTATTCAGAGCGATGGTTTTGAGAATCAAATGAATTAATTGCATCAAATAGGGACCTGTAAAATCTCCTTTATAAATATAGTTGTCTTTCTATCAAAGACAACTGCTCAAGAGACACAACTGTATGTAACTTTTATTATAATCCACATCAGCAGTTACCCATTCACTTTATATTAAAAGTGTAGGACCATAATATAATTATATTAAAAGTGTAGGACTATAATATAATTAAAATTCTAACATTCTCCCACTTAGTCTAAACTTTTATTATATAATCCACAACATAGGAGTTGTATATTCTGTATGTTTAATCAGAAAAATAAAAACTACATAAATCATAACGGTAAGTCCCTTTTAAACAAGTATTGTCTTCCATGTATTACTATACAATTTTTCTCTTTCTAAATAAACGCTTAAATGTGGAGTATTACTTTATGGACAAACCTCAAATGTTTGTTCCAGGTCCTCCAAAATGTTCTTTTGTCTCTAATCAAAATGTATACAACTTAAAAGAGAAAACAAACTAAATTACAAAGTTTCAGAGAATAAAAGTATTACCTCTTATAGTGACAAAGCAGGACGTAGTCCCACGTGAACTACGTGATCCTTGAATGTTTTTGGTGGCATGCCTTTTGTTAGAGGATTAGCAATCATCTGCTCGGTATGTATGTGTTCAATGAGCACTCCTTTAGCTTTAATGTGTTCCCTTATTGCTAAGTACTTAATGTCGATATGTTTACTTCGATTTCCACTCTTATTATATTTAACAAAAAATACAGCAGCTGAATTGTCACAATACAACCTTTTTGACCTAGAGAACAATCAATAGTCAGCATTTTGGCAACTCTCAACACTATCTTGTAGTTCAACTCACACCTTAGTTGTTTTTAAAGAAGTTCACTTTAGTGCTCCAACTAACCCCTGCCACTATTTCATAGTCGACCCAACTCACACCTTGACTGGTTTTTAGGGCAGCCCACCTTAATAGTCAACCTAAACCTCAATATTATCCCTAGCCTTAACTCACTTTAGTAGTCAACCTAACCCCAAACATTATCCCTAGCCTAAACTCACGCTTTGGTCGATTTAAAGGGCTTGGCTTATGGAACCATCTCGCCCCCAAATAAGAAACTATCTCACCCCTTTGGAGAGCCCAAATGGTGAATTAGAATGAATTATTTAAAAGGCTCGCATTATGCCCCTTTAGGTTGGGTAGATGATGTATTAGAAGGGATTAGAACCCTGTAGTCGACCTGACCCATACTTTGCTCAGTTTTTAAGGCATCACACCTTAGTAGTCCACATGTAGAGGTGGCCATTCGGGATTGGGTCAAAAAATCTAGCCCAAAAACCCGGTCCTAGGAGGCCTGGTCCCAAAACAGGACCAAACCTAAGGAGGAGGGCCCGGGCCCTCCACTGGGCCCTCCTCCAAGGCCCGGGCTTGGGATCGGTCCTAGGCCTAGGCCCAAATTTTTTTGGATTTTTTCAGTTTAGTCTCCTATACAATTACATAAAACCTCCTATAAGTTTTAAAATAAGCATAAATTGCAAGGGTTAAAATAAAATTTTACAAATTTTAGTTAAAAAAAAAAATCTTTTAGTAACCGTTGGCTGCTGCAAGCTGCAGCCAACAGTTATAATTTTTTTTTAACCGTTGGTTGGCAGCCAATGATCACATGCCAACCCAACTACACTATAAATAACCCTAAAATCTTTCATTTTTTCCACATCAATCAATCTCTCATTCTCTCAATCCCTCTACTCCAAATCTCCAATCAAATTCTCATTCAATTTATATTTATGTTTATAATTTATTTATATTATTCAATTTTTTTCTATTTTTCAATATCATCATAATTCATATTATTATTTAATTTCTTTTCATTTTAATTATTTATTATTTTATCATAAATTTATAATGGCTTCCCCAAATAATTTTTACGTTCTATCCACCGAAGAAATGGAAGGGTTCGATCCATTTTCACCATTTCCTCTAGAGGAAGCAACTGCAATTCCACAACCACATTCGGTCGGGATGAGGTGTAGCCAAATACATGCGAGCTGCAAGTCAACGGGCACAGGCATAACCCAACCTGCCCAACCATCAAAGAGGGTCATGTCCGATGTATGGCGACACTTCACCAAATCAAAATGGCCAAAAAAAAATGGGGAGGGGGAAGAATCGTGTGGGATATGTATTTTCTGTGGAATCATTATTGGCGTTGAGAAGGGGACTTCGACGATGCGACGACATGTGGAGAAGAAGCACCCCCAAATAATGCAGTTGCCGGATACATCTTCAAGAGGATCAGGTAGACAAATTCAAACTCAACTTAATTTTAATCTACAATCCTCAACTCTTTCAACATGGCAATACAATGCACATGTTGCATGAGAGG